ACATGGCTAAAACGTATTGGCAACAAAATTGGGCTAAAGCCGAAGCACAATGAGCCGAGTCAACAGAAAGAGTCGGACGATTATTTTGGCACGTGGATGCGTTTGTTAGCATTAAGTCATAAAAACGTGCTACCCCACAGAGAGTGGGAAAGAGACGGAGTCAGGGGGAAAAGGGGTGCAGTGGGTTAAGAGGACCCAAATCGGGGGACCAGGGGCTCCAACTTTGGGGCCAGAGAATAAACGACGATTTTTCGGCATGCAGCATCGAGTATTTTCTATGGGATTCCGTAAGCTGAAGGAGCTTCTCCAGCTGCCATTGTCAGTCTGTTTATCGTTTCAAGCTGAAAAGTCTCTCGCTCTCGCTTTCAGTATCTCTGCACTGAACGAAAAATGTGAGTAAGTCAGAAATTTCAAGACAAAAGGCATTTAAAGATAAAATCCGTTTAATTTTTAAATGAATGTAAAGAAACGTTAACAACACTTTATAAGCCTAATTAAAAAACACACTAAAGGCTTAAAATTACTTATCACAGAAAAGCTAATAGGAATCATATATCCTCTATGGCATAAGTTCTTAAAAGCTTGCAAAATATATTATACTTAACCAAGAAAACATTTAAATAATACTGAATAACTAGTTTAAAAATTTAACACTTTGAAAAGCAGCTTACATGAATTAACTTACAGGTTTTAGAAGAACGCCTAGATTTACTTGGTGAATGTTATTAATTAATGAAGGGTCTATTATAAGACCGAAAAAGTCCCGGCATCTAAGTGGTTTTTCATACACGCGGTATATCCCTCTAATAGTGTAAGATCCAGAAAACAATTGCCTTTAATTAAAATATAAATCTAGTAACTTAGTAAGTAGTAACTTATTCTTGACATTTTGTTACCTTATATTTTCAGACCACCCCTATTTTTAGTAAAAGATATTAAATATTTAGTCCATGTGTAATGGTAACATGAGCAGAACCTAAAAGCAGGGAAAGGAGCAGCTGGGGGGGAGTGCTGGGGAAATAGGGGACAGCATCTACACAATAGAACGCTTTGGGCCAATTGTAGGGACAAACTGGCATTGCTTGCCATTCCACCTGACTTCCCCCCCTCAGTGTGACCACCCCCTTTCCACAAGTGGCTGCTTTGCTATGCTGGTCGAAAGACCCCTCGACCCCTCGACCCCCCCGTCCTGTGTAGCCGCTGGTGCCTTTGTTTTGCTTTGAAAACTCTCAGCAATTTTGTGGTTCCTTTGTCTTGACTTTGGTCCATTCATTGACAGCTCCTAATGCAATCTCAACTTGTGCTTCAGCACTTTATAAAGTTATCCTTGGATCTCGAGAGGGGAAGGGTAAGGGGGAGGGGGAGGCGGTGGTTCTACCTGCTTGTGGGCCAATTATTGGCAAAATATAATGGAGATATCCGATAAACCGATTGCCCACAGCGCCAGCCGAAACATTTTCCACTCGATTGATCTGCTGTCGGATACAATATGGAAAGCCAATGGGATTATGCCGATACCGTAAGCGTTAACATTACCGTTAAATTCCTCCCGCCCTGAACAAATATTTGGATGGGCCAAAATATGGGGGCTTCCTTCATTGTCTTTTGTTTACCTGGGAGTATCGATAAATGTATCTATGCAAATGTGGTTTTGAATCATAAATCATCCTGGTCGAGGATGGAATCGAAGGAGGTTTTTGAATAAGGGATGAAATTGAGAAATTATCCCAAAAGTTTTGTGCTTAATTCATTGGTAATTTCTCTGGGAAAGGGATTGGGATTATCTGATTGTGCTTGATTCGCTTAATCCCTTGCTAACTACTGTGGCAACTTTGGAACTTTCGGGTGCATCCTGTGCGTAGTTTCCATGCAATTGGCCACAGTAATTTCAATTGGCTTTTATCCCCCCTTCAAGACCCCCTCTTCCCTCCTCCCCCCCTCAAAACGTCATTTCCGACACCTCGGTCCCACTCCCACCCTCCTTCCCTCTCGTTCGCACGCACACACACATCCGATTAGCAATTTCCATGCACTTGAGAGATTTCATTAGCTACTGCCGTTGTTGTTGGCGTTTTCCATTTGCCATGGCGTGCCTGGCTGGTTTTCCTTCTTTGATTTCCACAACTTACCCAGCACAGGGAAAAATTTAATTTTTACCCAATTTAATTCGATTTTATTGCCGCGAAAGACTTTATTTCAAAAAGTATAATTTATGGATGTCTCAAAATTTTAAGACATTTATATCATACCTAATGTTTTAATCTTTGAACTTTTAATAGGTAATACATGCTTTTTATGTGTAAATGCAGTTTTACTATCAGCTCTAAACTATTTCTTTTTTTTTCACTTTTATTTCTGGCTCTTTAGTTCCCAGCATTTTCTGATATGAGCTTGAAATTTGAAGTGCAATTGGTTTTTATAAACAGCACGTAACAGCATTGTTTAAATCGACAGGCCCGTCAGTCTGTCAAGTTGAAAACCGTCTATTTTTTCCTGTGTGCCTGAGGTTTTTCTCTACGCACTCTAGCTTCCTATCGCACTTGAGCACTTTCCATGCATTTAAACAATTTCCCTGCAATTTTCCATTTTACAAATGTTTTTTTTTCGCCCATCGCCTGCTGCGTCTCGAATTCGTTTTGTTGTTGTCAAAAATGTTGATGAAAATTTCATAAATTTATTTTCAGTTTTTCTCCTAGTTCCTGTTGCTGTTGTTGGCCCAGTTGTTGTTGCACTTCATTCGTTCGTACGCTTCTAAGCCATTAACTACGCCACTCGTTTTCAGTCAAGAGCGGAAGGGCGAAAAGGAAAAAGGGGTCTAAAGTGGGGAGGGCTTGGGCAAGTAAGCCAGTCGAACGGACTACTCATGTTGCACATATCGTAAAATATTTAACGCTTTTAAGACCTGCAGTCCTGAGCAGGTAAGTTGCTACGCTCTCGATGCGTAAGTCATTTTCATCCGCTTACGAGACGGCTGGCCATTTGTCTATGTCTTCCCACTTGGTGCCAGCATTTCATATTGAATTTTTCACTGAACATACATTTTTACACAGAGAAAATAAATTTATAGTACATTATATTTTTCACTACCATTAAACAACAAAAAAAGACTTTTGTATTAAAACATCATTCGAAGAAAATGACTGTAGAATTTTTAAAATTTCCCATAGTACATACAACTTTTGAAACTAGTTAGGCTTTTGTACTTAGATAATTTTTTCTATGGGCTTAAAGTTGTTGTTCTCACAGATGATAAATTATTAAATTTATATTTAATGCCCTTTTTAATGTGGAACCTGGGACTTTCTTTAAATAACCTTAAAAGGAAAATCCTGAGTAACAGAGAAGCTGTTGGTTTATCGAGGGCATGCGAAATGTATTTCTAAATCTTTCTAAATTCACTAACTAATAACCCTATTCAAATCGAAACATTTATATATTTATATACATATAGGAAACAATTGGTTTATTTACAATAATAATTTTGTTGAAACTTATTTCTGGGATATATGGCTTTTATCGAAATTGAGCCACCCGCATTGGGGATTCCCGTAAATCAGTTTTTGGATTTATAAGATTTTTTTTCTTCATGTACTCACATCAGGTGGGGTCGAAAAATATCGATGTATGAAATTTCCGACCTTTCCCCAATAAATTCTCGTGGCAACGCATCGAATTGGACGTGATTTTAACTTCACGCACGCACGGCGCACCTAAACAGGGGAGTTAGTTTCATTTAGAGGGGTGGCTCAGAAGGGGGCGTGGCTAAGGGATTGGTTACGTTGTCCCATAGCCTTCAGAACCCCTCATCCCCCCCAACACCACCATCCACGATCCCCTTTTGGCAGTGTTTTCTATGTCATGGCACGTATTTTGGATTTCTGCTACATTTGAACTTAATATTTTCCCCGTCTCTGTTGCTCTACGTGTGTGTGTTAGTGTGTGTGTGTGAGTGTGTATGTTAGCTGGAAATTTGCTGGCTTTTTTGGCAACATCTCTGTTTTAGCCTGGGGAATTTCTTTGGCGTGTTAATGCCTTTTGGCTATCAATTGGCCATTATGTGCCGGGGGTTTCGGGGCCGAAAGTCCCGGCTCCCGGACCTTCTTCTTCCGCCACATAACCATTACCAGTTTGTAATTCCGTTGTGATTTGGGATTAGGTCTTCTCCTGTTCTGTCCTGTCCCGTCCTGTTCATGGCCAGGACCAAGGACCAAAGAGCGGGTGTCCAGGCACATGAACACGCCATAAAAATATCTTGGCAAAAGGCAATTGAATAAATTGTGACCTTTACATTGATTCCACTGCCGCATCATCCATGGCTGCATTCCCCCTCGCCTTTTCCCATTCCGGGACAGTCTCTCAAGTAAATAAAAACTGGAAAAGCCATTTATTTTCCTTTGACCTTTGCACCCTTTACGCCCCTGATCCCCGGCACGTAAGCTGCCACACAGTGTTATAAGTCCATTTTGGTTGTACTCCTACATTTCTGCAGCGCCGCAGTTTGTGTGTGTATAGCTTGGTATCTTTGTTTGCGTGGGGTGCTTTTTTTTTTTAGCTATTTTTAAATCGAAACATAAATACATGTTGGTTTAGCCACTCGCGCTAGTTGCTAGTTGGGTTCCAGTTCCAGCTTTTTGGTTTTTGTTGGACCGAACAAACGCACATAACACATGCTGAGCTGACCACAAGTCGGTCTATTAATACGCGCAAATAAGCCGCTTAATTAGTCTTTCATTTTCGGGGCACATTGGCTGCGGCAGTGGCCATGGATTGTGGCTGCCACCGAATGTGGCCAGTAGCTGTCGGATTTGCGGGCCAACGTGGCGTATGCATAATGAAGATGATCGAAGCGACTCTGCAACGCTCACGGTCCACCAAATCGAACGTTAATTAAATGCTGCCATAATAGGATGGAAACTTTTACCCCCAATTATGTGGCTCGTTAAGCTGCCGCCATACAACCCACTTTGCGAAATGAGAAAACGATTAGTGCACGCGCACTGTACTTTTAACCATAACCATATCTTCATTTATTATGGAGAAACATTGTTCGTTTATTTTTGCATTGCTTAAACAGAAAAACATACTTGACTCCGCTTAGGTTAGCTTCATTTACCATTTTCGTTAGTTTAATAATGTCTGTAATTTCATTTACTATTTTTGGTTGAACCCATGATCGAATCGACCCGACGTTCGCTCTTACTGCTTAAAAGTCTTATCAAGACCGCTTAAAACCGACCTCTAAATGTACAATTATCAAGTATGAATATTTTACACAGTAACTAGATGATGGACTACGAAGAACAATTTCGAGGCTGACAACCAGATAAAAACTTATCCATATACACTGAATAACCATCTATATATAGCCAGGGTTAACTCCCTCTATTCTCACTTCACTACTCCACGTGCTGGGTGTATGATTTCGGTATAAATAAATAAACAATCGAGGACCTAAAATATTTATGTTTGTGTTTTATTGTATATACAATCGGACATGTCTGCTTCAATGAACCCAAATGAAACTGTAAGCCAAAAGGTTTTCAATAATTGCTGACTTTTGGCCGGTTTGTAGTGATTATAAACCTGTGTCCAACGATATGAATTTCAAATGAAATACAATGACAACATATTAATGTTTGGGAAACAGCGGTTTTGTTTTTGGTTTTTTCGTTACTTTTCCTAGGTATGGGTAGTGCTAGTTTGCCTGGACTCTTCCTGTTGACTGTGGTTGATTAAAACTTCTTTCGTAATACTGCCCCGCCTGTCTGTCTGCTCGGGAATGTCTTATAGATAATACTCGTTAAAGGACACACTGTATATGTACACTAGTTCGTAAGACGCTCCTCCGGCCTCATTAAATGCACCTGGGGAGGAGCGGTTCAGTCCCAACTTGGCCGGGACTGTCGCTCAGCGTTTTTTTTTTTTTTTAGTTCGACGACTGGAGGCACCTCCGTTAGCCGCATCAGCTCCAGCTCCAGAGGCCCAGAAGTCCGGCGGCCAGGTTGCCCCAATTGATGTTCCAGTGCCAGCGCCAGTCGGGGCTCCAGTTGCAGTTCCAGTTGCAGTTCCAGGCGACAGCCGCCACCGTCATCGACATCCTGGTGGCAAGGACGAAAGGCACTGGTGGGGGGCGCAGGCAGCTGGCGCTGCTGTTGCCGTGCTGCATGGCGGCCGGATGTTCCCCGTTGATGACGTGCACCACCACCGAGGCGGAATCTGCAACGAGTGGGAGGCGGGAAATGAATGTGGGCGGTGCAAATGCCGCAGGTCACAAAGTCCCACTAATTGCCCACGGCACACGACCAAAATACATTGCTCTGAACCTCACATAGCTGAAGAATTTACATTGAAAAGTGAGCCGGGCACATTGTATCGATTTAAAAAACATTTATTTTAAATTTATCCTAGGAAATTGACACTACACGCTCTTAGCAACTGAATAAATGCAAATTGCTACCAAAGTTATTAAATTACATTAAGACCAATTAAAATGAAATGAAAATAACAAGTTCGCCTTTAGCATTCAATAGAGTATTTTCTATATTGTTTGTTAACGTTTGTATTAATTAATTTTTAAAGACTTACTGATTAAGTCTTCAAAGCAAAACAATGGAGTAGTCTTAATTATCAGAATGGAAAAGAAATATGGACTCTAAAGGTTAATAGGCATAAATGGCAGCAAAGTAAAGTACTTCCTCTCAGCACCCATTAGAATGTGTGACGCACAAAATACGCACTGAGTTATTTATAAAAGGTTTCAATAACTTTATACGCCTTCCAAGAAAACTCTGGCTAATGAAGCATGACATGTTTTCAATTTCAATTCCGGATGGCTCAAAAGCTCATAAGACTTGTGAGGAGATGGCTGCTATTTTAAGAACCAACATGTTTAAACAAACAATTTAACAAGTTTCTAAGACTTTTGAAGCGTAACTTGAATTAAAGATTAATCCCTGGAAAAGAAGGGCTTTGAGCATTAGCTACTACTATCATTTATCTGTCTTATTTTTTACATTTTCTGGCAGTTCTTTGAGTGGGCAGGTGAGTTGCCATTTGGGATGACTTACCTGAGCTGCTCGGGGAGCACGTGTAGTTGCCCGAGTCAGCCGGCGTGGCCTTGGCGATGAGCAGCTTGCTGGTGCGCGTGGAGCGTTCTGTGATGACGTTGATGCCACCGCGTTGCGAGTAATTCATGACCCGCTTGCCCTTGTACCAGTAGATGAACGACGGCGGCACCGGCGACTGCATCGCCAGGCAGGTGAGATTGATGTCGCTGCCGCTCTTGATGAAGAGCTCCGCGTTGCCCAGGATCTTGGCCCGCGACACTGCCGTTGAAAGGTAATAAAAAGCCACACGGGGCAGGCCATTAATTAGCACTCCGCCCACTTAATGGCCAGTTAACAACCCCCACTTCCCCCAATTGGCTCGATACTCACCCACCACGTTGAGGCGGAATCCCTGGCTGATCTTCGGCTCGGTGGACACCTGGCACTCGTAGGTGCCCGAATCCCGGGGCTGTGGCGATGAGATGCGCAGTGTCCACTCGTCGGAGCCCTCGGAGTGCAGCGACTGGAAGCGCTGGTCGTTCGTGTAGGTCAGTATGCCCACCGTCAGGATGTGTAGGTCGCGTTTCCGTATCCAAGATACCTGGGGGAGCAGGAAATGGCCATTAAAAAATGTAAGAGCCCATAAAACATAACCCAAAGACGCTTTTGGAATAAAAGTCTTATTTTTACAGGCTCTCCATGATTCTATACCCCCATGAACTTAAACAAGTGGTCAAAACGCTATTAATAAAATCAAATATTTCTCAGAAAGGGTAATTGTTTAATTACTCCTGTCGAAAAATAACAAACAAAACCTGTCTCGTTTTTTTTATATTTGGTTTATCATCACCACTTTTTTTTACTGCAAAATAGCGCTGGTTTTTATATAGAAAAATGAATTTTAATCTAACTTTTGTAACCACTTGAACCAGATAAAAAGTTGACCTACATATTACTAACAACGTGTATTCAAATTTAATAAAAGCCTTTTTTGGGCTGCCTTTCGTGCAGGAAAAAATTCATGCAGCTGTCAAAGTGGCAGATGAAAAATTATTTCGTGTTTCAAAGGGGAGTTGCACGTTCTCATACATGGTAGTATAGAAATGTTTCTATATTCGTGCAGTGATATTTTGTAGGATGCAAGGTGAACATTGCACGGAATGAGGTGTTTAATTGCATATTGTAAGGGGCACTTAAGTACTGACACAATCGAGATTATCTGTTCTAATCTGTTATTAGCTATAGTGTGATTTAACAGCGATAATAAGAAGATAGTTTGGCCATTAGCTTAAAGTTAAGATTTTAAATCGGCTATTTTCAATTCGTTTGAAGATAAAACTTGGTGACGTTTCTCTGAGGATATAAAAATGTACCCAAAGTTTATGTGAGGAAATAAGAAAACTTTTCATTTCATGTTCAATGGAGCAAGCTCCCAAATTGTTCTGCATGGCTTATCCCCAAAACAATAACAGAATTGCTCTTTTATATGTTCTTATAATTAGCTGGATTTTTCCCGAGCAACAAAAGTGTGTTGCGGCTTAAAAGGATTCCTGCCACTTGTTCTTTGTATTTCTTGCCAGAATTTTAGGTACCTGAAGGATGCTTTAGCTCCACAGCAAATTGAGCAACTTTAAATGGTTGCCCAAAGTTTTCCCATTTGTGGGCGGGGAAACTAGAAATTCATTAATTGCCTGTTTCGGCTTTGTCTGGACTCTAATTTATGGCTGCAATTGGGTTACTTAGTGGGGCTCAGCTCGGAATAGTTTTATGTACATTCAGGATTTCGTGTACATGGCAGCCTTTGCCAACAGAAAATAAAGCTCTCCCTTTGTGCAGTGCTTAATTTGCTCGTTTGTTTGGGTTCAATTAATTAAGGATTAGTGCTTGGCCAGCCGTGCTCATAAAGAACCCGTTTGATTTATACATAAATTAAAATACATTCATTAACCATTCGTTCGCTAATTTTCAATTTTCAATATTCAATTAAAATTAATTGCATTTCCCCAGTGCAAATAAGTTCAAGGCGAATCTTTGGTCAACACCGGTTTTATTCGATTGGTAAGGAAAAGCCACAAAAAAAGGAAACCAAACAATTAACACATTCGTAATGAAATTTCGTATTTGAAATAGCGCATTTATATTGCGCAATAGATTGATTAATGCAAATTTATTCATTTAAAAGCGCCAAAAAAAAAATGTGTGAAAAAAATATAAAGACCGATTAACAGAAGCTATTAAAGTATACATACATATGTTAAAAGCCGATTGACTAAAGGAATAACGAATAATGCCAGATTATTGTTATATTATCATTTTATAAATCGTTATTTTTTTGCTCAAAAATTGAAATGATTGATTACTACAAAGAAATTAAATAAAATTCATAAATTACAGTATGCCAAAAAAATATGTTTATCAATTTATACAATTTTTTTGTTTAAACGTTTGTAACGATGGAAAAATTTTTTCTTTTTGTCTTTCTTTATACAAACCAATTAAGTATGTAAATATGTATTTAAGTAAAAAAAAAAAAAACCAATTTCAATTTTTAGTTTAAAATGTTTAATTGACAAAGGGTTAAGGAAAATCTTATTTCATTCGAAAAGTAATTTTAAATCGACGAAAGTTTTGTGCTTTGAAAATGGTTAATTCCCTAACCCAGTTAAGTCATTAAACCGAATAGTCAATGAACTAGTTCACTTCACTTGAACTACATTTCCCAAAAGCGATTAGACGTCGTTTAGTTTTCCTTCAGCTTTTCCTTTGAGTCTGCCCCCCCGAAGTATGCAACGGAATGCAAAAAATTCCATTTAGAGGAAAATTTTCATGTCGTGCATATATTGCGACAATCAATTAGCACAGAACTTGGGCGGGGACTTTGAGTGACTGGCAAATGAATCCCGAATTGGGAGTCGTGCAGCATGCAGCATGGAGTACGAAGAACGAAGAATGTAGAATGCAACGTGCTGGAGACACCGCCAATTAGCCGCATATAACGGGAGACAATGCCTGCGCCGGAGGATTAGGGACACAGTTCAGAGTTGGCTCCCCGGCTCCACTGCCAATCCACAGCCCCACAGAACGTTAATTACTCAATTCAACTGACTTGCTGAAAGTTGGGCGGGCGAACAAGCATTTGCTGACATCGTTGTCGCTTCCTGGCGAAATCGGGGGCTTTTGGGGGCCAAGACACGGACAACGTGAAATTTATTACACCGCATAATTGCACAGCCACAGAGCGCTTGCCAGGGACAAAGGGTTACAGGGGGAGGCGGGGCTTGGGTCAGGGGTCAGAGGGTGGCACAGGTCCTGTGTTGTTGCATTGCTAACAAATCGCCCGGAGCGGAAGCGAAGCCGTGTTACAAATGTGCAAACCAGAGCGAGCCAAACACAAAGTGCTATTGGGTGTTGCAGCGCATTCAACCCACAGACAGTGGGGTAGGGGGTAGGGGGGTGGGTTAGGTCCAACCACCAACTTTATGGCGTAATCTTTTAAAAGTAATCTACAAATCTGCCACACGACCGCCGCAGGTCGTTTGTTTTGCCTTATGCCTTATGCGAATATAATGTTGGTCCCAAAGGGACCCACGAGCATGGAACCGAGCCCGACCATATTAATTGCCGGGGTCACCCCGCCAGAACCGCCAGACCCGCCATTCCTGACCCCACTTACCGCTCGATCGCCCAGATTCCGCACCCGGCAGTGCAGCAGGGCCGCCTGACCCACGGTTGCGGTGACCTCACGCCTCGAGGAGTTGTCGAAGTACGGCTGCGAGTAGGGGGTTTCCCAGTAGTGCGGTGGCACCTCGCCGCCAACCAGGCCGCAATCTGTGAACAAACAGGGGATGCAGGCGCATTAATACATGCACAGGGGCAAAATATCACTTAAATTGGCCATCAATTATGTACTTTTGCATGTGGAAAAGGTCATCTCTCTCATCGCAAATAAATAAAATCTCGACCAATTAAATTTGACTTCATAAGATAAAAATACTTTGTTGAAATCGAGTTTTATATAAATTAAGCTTATCAGATCTGATCGTGTGTCAATAATTTGAGCAGATTGCAATGAGCATTTGTCAAGCATCATACAAATTTAACAAGTATTTATTCTAGCTATTATAGGCAATTATTGGGATTTTTGTATTAACAATATTTGTAATAGAGTTAGATACTGTATTTAAAAAAAGCATGTGTTCTTTTATATAAATGTATTAATATATTTTACATAAAAATAAACTTTCAAGCCAACAGATATTAAATAATGTTAACATTATTAAGCTTTAGTGATTTCAAATAAATTATGTATTAGTTTGTATCTTAGCCTTTTCAATATGCAAAACCTATTAACTTATGGCGATTATATAAGTTAATATACAATTTCTTTTTAAAACGTGACATAATTTGATTCTGATTAAAATACAATATTGATATAAAAACTAAGCCCCTTTCCCCCTTTATATTCTTTTGCTGTGAGCTTAACACCACCACTTTTTTTCTCTGTGCGAAAAACCATGGCCAGAAATGTATAAAATAAGACTCACCGAGGAGCAGGACCAGCCACAGCGGCACCAGGCAAATCGCTTTCAACGCTCTCGGGCAGTCCGTCGTCCACATGGTTTATGCTCTCCACTCGGACTGCTGCTGCTACTCTGTTGGAACGGAGGAGTCCTCCGCTCCTGCCGGCTGCTGTATTTGCTCCGTTTACGGTTTAAGGTTTAATAATCTGCAAAGGAGGAAATATTATTACCAGCGCTTTTTATGGGGCCAAAGGCGAAGGACGGGCCTGGAAATGAGCTGGGCGGAATGGGGAAGTAATTTGCCGGACAAATGATGAAAGCCAGATATAAATATGCACGATATGGGGAGAGTAATTCGTGGAGTGGGTGGATCCAATATGGTTCCCTACCCATCCGGAAAATTGCCTGCCCATCTCGGCAATTGTTTAATACAGTCAGTTTCATTACTCTTAGATGGCCAAAAGATTGAATTATAACGATAAACCCTTATAAATGACGCAATGAAACCATAAAAAAAATCAATAGCTGTTTAATATATTATATTTAATACGCCATACGAATTATCAACTAAAATGAATGGCATTTCTTCTAGACCTAACAATGTTTCTGAATATTAAACTTTTCGTTAAGAGAAGACAAATTTAAACTAATAATAAATATCATAAAATATGCAATAGAAAAATGTGGGTCACTAATTAATTCAGTTAGTTTTTAAAAATTCGATCGAGTATCGCTTTCCCCAAAACACACAATGCAATTATAATACGTAATTTTCAATTAAGGCCAAAACCAAAATGGGTTTGCTTATTGAAAAAATTAGACTATTATACGGCTCTCTAATTAAATTAAAATTTTATGATACTGGGTGAATTATCGAAAGAAATTAGCTGAATAAGTAGGTCAGCAATCGACCAATTTGCCTGCCAACTGTCTACTGCCAAGAATTTATTATGAGTAAAATATCCCCAATGGCTTAACCAATTGCAAACATTATTATTTTGTGGATCTCTTCCAGATCCCGACGATTAAACATAATTTATTGATTCACGGCGACTTGTGTGTGCATATTTATGGAGCTCAGTGCTCCACAATTCCAATTAACAGAACAAGAGCCATCGACATCCGGGGAAAACACATCTGAATGACGGGTTAATGAGGTTAATGCCGGATGAAGCCTCAACTTTCGGTCTCGACTTGGTTGCCAGGCAAGGAAATGCGATTCGAACTCGCCTCAGGAGCTGCATTCATGAGCGTTGGGTTGAAAATGCCCGAGGGGACTGGCAACTTAAAGCATATTTCGTTGCAATGTGGCTAAAGCAATTACAGGGGGTTGGAAATCATAGTGAATAGGAGGGGTGGGGGGTGGTTGGACCAGGCTGAATGGAAAACTAAGGCAAAAGTCAAAAACTTCTCGAAGGATGAAATTAAAAAGTTTCCCCAAGCTGAGCTCCTGGCTAAACGACCTTGTCAACTATATAGTTTTATCTGGATAAACTCGATATTGCCTTCGCTCTTCCTTCCTAGCCTTCCTCGTCTTCCTTTTGCAAATTTGTCAGTCTGCTGCCATGGCTCCCTCGAGACCTCGTCGTGGGTGTCCCGCTCATTATTTATGACTCCAACTCAGTAATCAGTCAGTTCGTGGCAAAAGGGGCAAGGGGGTAGACGACGTTCTGGGCTCCTAGAGCGGTCATTCATAATCCCGGTCATTACTCAAAAATATACATTTGTTGTCAGTCCAATTAGCTGCGTGACTCCAAGGGTCAGCAGTCCGGTCCGGTCCGAACCCCGCCATTTGTTTTGGTCAGTTTTGGCCTTCCAGCCGTCGGCTTTTTGGTTGCCTGGTTGCTTGATTCCTGATTCCTGGGAAATGAAAAAAGGTTGGCTAGCTTCATTTTATCGCGGCTATTACAGCGGAATTATCGCCTCGCTGTGTGTCCCCTATGCCGCCGCCCTTTCGCTCTCCATGGAAATTAAACAAAAGTTTTTTTTTTTATCCGGCCAGCGAACAACATTATTCTGTTGTTCTTTTCCTAACTTTTTCAGACCTGTCAAACGGAAAAGGCGGACAAAGGGCGACCGCAGTTTGCCCAGTCAGACCCGAGGACTTGGGACCCCATTTATTGTTTGTTTTTCTCGCTCCTCTCGGTCCTTGTGGCGCATTAAATTAAATTCCTTCACTTACGGGTCTCCGCAATGACTTCCCAATGACACCAACGTCATCCTCTCCGTCCGAGTCCTGCTGGGGCCAATCCTTGAGGGTCTCCGATTCTACTGCGTTACACTGGGTCCTGGCTTTGACATTCGATTGCGCAATGCGCAATAATTAGGCGGCTCTGCTCGCATCGCTCATTCAACAGTTGCACAATAACCAGCACTCAACAATGCCGCAATTCGGCAATCAAACCTTTCCACAATTCACCAATCAATCCGTTTAAGAAAAGCCAAAAGAGGTCTATTTTGGTCCGGCTGGCTTACTGGGTGCGTGGCCTAATAGCGCGGATTGCGAAAATATATCCGTTCCACGGAAGCGGACACATGGACACAGGGACGCAGGACCCACGGACACGGTCACGCACACGATGACAGCGAGGCGAGCGACAAGGACGAAGGGGCTTTGTGTTATTATATTCGCCGATGTGTGTATGTTGGTCACATTAGGTGCCACAGCTACAGCCAAAGCCAGAGCCAGAGCCCTATAGGTATGCACACTCACACTGAGACGGGGACATGGGCAGGCACACACACACAGATGCACGGGATGGATACGCGGAGAGAGGCATTTTGTGTATCCGTCTCGGAACGTGACCAACGATGGCTCCGTGGGATTTAGTTATTAAACGGCTTTTGGCTTGGCTTCTGCCCTCACTTCATTCCTTCGTCTGTTTTCATTTTTAAATGTGGCACAATGCGATTCGGCGATGGCACTTTCCCTTTCCCCTCTTCGACCCCAGTGACTGATTTCTCCGACGGCGACGGAGCAACGTTCACGGGCATCCTTGCGGCAGGATTCGCGTGCTGGAACTGATTCCGTGTCTATCTCGGCAAGTTTACAGGACTTCAGCGCCGTGACTCCGAAACGAGAGACTCCGAAAAGTCGTTCGTTGGCGCAGACGCAGCAAGGACCTCTGAGAGGATGTGAGAGGATTTCCTCGAAAGCCAGAGCATATCAAATATTAATTTGCCATCCATTTGTTGCCGCTTTCTTTGCATGCCTAATGAGCAGTTTTATTTTAAGGCAAGGGTTTTTTTTTCCAGTTTTTTTTTTTTTTGACTCTACTTATCCTCTGGTTTTTCCAGCTAACCGCCAAGCCGGATCGTTTCGCTCTCCATCAACCCGACGTCTCTGGCTCGCTCTCCATCCGCACTATCTGGGTTATTAGCACAACCTGCCTCAATGCGAGGCACACGAGACCCTCGGCCGAATCAAAATCCGAGTGCAAATCGTGGCCAGAGCCAGACGAACCTAATATGCTCCATAGTCACGTACAAATGAATATTCGTAGTAGAGACGCCTTCGTTTTGGCATATTAATATAGTCTACATTTCGGGGCACAGGCAGCGAGTAACCCCAACCTCTTTTTTCTCTTTCTCGCCCATGAATGATTTACGCCGGGGCCATGGAAATGTGATTTTTACCGCAATATATAGGTATTGGTGTATTGGTATAGGCAATAGGTATAGCTGTGCAAAAACCCCTATTGCCATCGGACCCCCCTCCGCGCAGAAACAATTGAACAGACAGTTATAGGCCAATTTCAGTTTATGTCCATGCGTCGTACTCGAGAGAGATTTGTGTGGGGGGGGGGAGGTGGGTGGTTTAAGGGGTCCGTGGGTGTTAAGGGGTACTACTACCAACACCTGTACCTCGTTGTTGCGCCGACCATGTCAAATGTTGCGTGTTATGGGCCGCAAATGTGGCTGTCGAAAGCGTATCCTACCGGCCCACCCACTTGCAAGTACACCCACTACAAACCAACCACCCCCCACGCCCCTTTCGAAAAAAAAACAGGGGCGGACGGGCATTTCAACGCATGCCTTACGAGCTCATAAATAAAATGCCCACCCGGTCGGAGGCCGATAAAGTCGAGTGTGCTTGACTGGGGAATGCCCTGTAGGCCTCACAACATTGCAATGCAAATGAGCATGGCGCCCAAAAAGAGACAGACGCACTCAGACAGACAGAGACAGTTAGATGGTGGGGGAGAGAGACAGGAACACAGCGAGGCAATGCAACAGAAAATTGACAGACAATGGCCCTGTAATTGACACGCCACCTAGCGGCCATTACGAATGATTAAAGTTGTTTTTGCCCTCCCAAATGTGCGTGTATGTCTATGTATATGTGAGTTGACATTTGATTATAGAATTCCATTCCAAACAATTGAAATGGGAATACAGCGAGTTGGTCTATGTGGAGGCGGAACCCTGCTAAACAGGTTACAAATTCCATAATTAAGTAAGCACGCAATCAGGTCAAATGGAACACCGAGAAAATATCATACATGGCATTTAAATCATTTTGTCTTATCTAATTAGATTTAGGGTGTTTTAATTGTTTAAAATTCTATTAATGTCGGTGGTATAATAAGAACATGTTTAAAAATGTTTTTGAATATCGTGTTGCTTAAAGGAATATCTGATGTATCTCTCCAACGATCCGTTATAAAGGTTTTAAACTGATTAAACGTTTAAAACCTGCTTTTAACTTAGCACGATAAAAAACCATAAATATCAATTATATTATAACGGATGATAATTGACTTATTTGACTTATTTTTTAAGTAATCCAGACTTTTAAAAACAGATTTTTAAATAAAATTAAATAAAAAATGAGTAGTATGTTCTTAAATTAAATCATTTTGCCCATCTTAAATAAAAATTAAATAAAAATAGTGGCACTTTCTCAAATAAATTAGCAAGTTATTTTGCCTATCAGGGTGGGTCAAACTCCTGGCCTACTGGGTATTTAGGATATATTGACTCCGCGGCGATACTTAACGCTTGCTGGCCCATTCAAGAAATCAAATTAGTGGAGCAATCTATACACAACACCAGGTGCCCCACCCGCTGGGATCCTATCTGTTCACCTTTTCGCCAGCGAATTTATTGTTGCCAATTAATTTGTTAAAATTAGTGGAGCAGGCCTTGTCGTTGCCCGTGCATTGTGGTAGTAGTTCCAATTGCCGGCTCCGCGGGATATGGGGTTGGTGGCTGGGCCGGAGGAGTTCTCCGGAGCGCTCTGTCTTCAACTGCTTATCGATAAGCGAAAGTGGGCACGGCCCCCAGACGTCGTCGCCTGCGAAATGTATGCCACGTACACGTATTTATCCATTGCTTAGCTCGCCGGCGCCATTTATTGCTCACTGCGAATGGGGCTGTCCCATGGGTGGGGCTAATGGGGGCCCTGGCAGGGGTGCCGGGATCGCAGGAGGGGGTGCGGACTGGGCCCGCTTCCGTTGCCTTGAATGAATGCTAAATTAATTTCAAATGAATACAAATGGCTTTTCGCTTTTAAGACCAGACGAAGGCAGCAGTAAGAAGTGCCGAGCGCAGCAATAAACTCCCCCATCACACAGCCAAAAAATCAAGGGCTTCCTTCTAAAGGACCCTCGAAATTTAAAGTTTATTTCCCTTGCCCAATCGGAAGATTTTTATTCAAAGAGCTTTCATAAATAAATGAACCACTGACTTTCAATTAGTCCGAAAGGGAAGAACTAAATTTGATGCAATATCAAAAATAAACCATTTATAATAGCAACATAAAGAAAGTCCGAATGGGAGAATTGTAATAAATAAATCAAGAACTAGGATTTAAAACTATAGTTTTGATTTATTCATGGCAAAAGATTTATGTTTTATGAGAAATATTAAGTGTGTAATATACGACATCCATCAAATTCTAAATTGCTTTTATAGATAAACTTTATATCAAATAATTCAAACTTTTTATTAATAATTCAACTTGTGATTTTCAATCAGTCAGAAGGTAATAAATTAATTTTAATGCAAAATTGAATGTTTTTAAAATTTGTTAATTAAATATTGCAATATAAATCAATTTATTGATTTTTATCACTGGCCTGTTATTTATATATATTTATTTTGTGCCATCACTTTTTTAAATATTTAACATTACTTGTCTTAATTAACTTTTGAATACATCAAAAATAGTTTATTAGGCCAATAAAAATGAATACGAAGCAATTTTAATTGAGAAACTAAATTTGATAAGTATAAACAACTGAAAATAAATTCAGGCAAGGAAAGACGATTGCAAGATTTTAAATTGTCAATTTATTAGGCCAATTTAAATTGTTATGAAAACATTTAGTAAGAACATTTTACAAGTGAAATAAAGTGTGCAAAATATGACCAATTAGTTATTTTTGGATTGTAATAAAAGGCTGTATTGTTGGGTAGCTGAATTTAATGGAATCATATATGCAAAACTAATTTTATAATATATGCTTTCTTAATTCTTAAACAATATTTCATATTTAAATATTCCTCAGATTCTTAGATTGTCTTTTATTTATATATAAAATATATGCTTAAGTTTATTTAAAGATATTTCATCTTAGACTCAACATTTTCTCTCCGTGAGCAACTGAGTCGTTTGGTCTGTCTCTGTCTGTTTTACATTCCTTGTTTCGTTGAAATAACTCTCTGCTCCTGCTCCTCCTGGCCACCTCTTCTTGCCCAGATCCTTCTCCCGATGCCGATTCCGATTCTGATTCGTCTACCGGGTAAGCGTTTCGGTGGAGCCTCGTTGTCGAGTTTATCAGATGCACTGCTGGAAATTTACAACGCCACAGTCCGGCCCAGACAACGTGGCCGTTAATTCAATTCAGCGTAAACCTCGGCCCTTAGCAACCCCGTCACCCCACGCCACTGTTTTGGGGGGCTATTATCCAATAACTAGAGAACGCGGCTAATCGCGTGAATAGTTTGGGCGGCGTAATTGATGTTTACGGCAAAATCCACCCCCCACCCCACCAAATCGCAAACGCTGGAGGAAAATTTCCATTTCGTTGACTAGTTTCGGGGGGGGCGGGTGTGTGTACACCTGCTGGGCCCTTTCAACGATGCCTTGATTTAATGCATTTCATTGAGCAGCAACGACCACGCCCACCTAACAAGTGTATCCCCCCTAGCCCACATCCTGCGCCTATTCATTCAACCCCCTGCTGGCTAACTGGCCTCTCGAATACCAGTTCCTCCAGGCCGGCCACTTTGCATTCATTATTCAATTTGAGCCGCATTTAGATGCCAGCCTGATTAAGATCCCCATTGTGTCGGCTTTGGAGAGGGGATTCCTGGCGAGGTGTCCGAGCCGCAGTCGATCTGGTTTGCCATAGAGAATAGGTCAGAGTGATGCCTCTGCCCAAGCGCATAAATAAGCGATGGGATTCCCTTTGAGACGCCACCACAACTGTCATCGCAACTGGCAACTGATGGGCATTGGTCGATGGGGACGGAATCCGACAGCGAATCCGACTCCGAATCGGGGAATCCGTATTGATTGACCCGCTCTGTTTCAGACCAGCGATTTGGCTGCGGATTTTAGGATGCTCGACAGGAGCTGACGGTCGCTGAATGCTATTGATTAATGCAGTTAATGGCAAATCAAATGCAGTTGAGTGTCTATTAACCAAAGCCACGGTCTGTCCCTTTAAAAAGGTCGACAAAAACGCTGAGAACTCCGATTTATCGGTTGACTTAGTCTTTAGAATTCCGCATTTTGTCGCTAGTGATTTTTCTTGTTATTCATTTTCAGCAAAAGAGATTCAATGAATATTCTATTCAAACTGAAAGCTGATTTATTTCAATCTTTTTTATTTTCCTATTAAAGTTGATGCAACAAAGTCACAAAGATACAATTATATTAAAGTCGTTTAACGAATTTGAGGAAAGACACATAAATTGTTTAAAAATGAAATCACAGAGATGTATAAGCGTTTACTTCCGTTTATTATATTACGTATACGACTAGTTAAACACCGTTTTTTTGGTATAGATATAACTTATGTTAATTCCAGATTTG